GAGTTGCAAGTATCTCAAAAATCTTCCTGCAGGCCTGCACAGACTTCACTCCCTCCAGGTGTTGGGGATTTCATCTTGTCCGAGCATCTCAGGGTTGCCGGACCTCCCACCTTATCTAGAGGAGTTGACAATCTTCGGCTGCAGTGAGGAGCTGGTAGGTCAATCCAAATCGCTAGCATCAAGCAAGTTAAAGGTCAAAATTGACCACCAATATGTGAACTGATTACTCAGTGGCTTGTTAAGCACACCTGCACAACAGATATAGCTGTACACGTGTACTGCTTTTGAGGTATGCTTCTATCATAGATCATGCTATGCCCAGAGTTTACAATACGGCGTTGCTTTCTTGTGTGTGTGTGTGTGTGTGTGTGTGGAAGCAACAAAAACTGAATTTAGGCCAGTTCCTCGACAGGTTTGCTAGCTTTCGCCTCAGAACCTTGTCCTGACGTGATCTGTTTGCTGACATACAGATATAGTTGCACGACCATCTCTCCCTGGAGATGTTGAAGATCTGAAGATGTCCGATTGTGTCAAGGCTGCCGGAAGCGGGCCTCCCACCTTTGCTCGAAGAGTTGGACATCTCGCTTTGCAGCGAGGAGCTGAATGATCAATGTAGAATGCTCACAACAAGCAAGCTAAAGGCCGGCATTGATTTCCAAGATGTGAATTGGTTAGTCGTTGTCTTGTTAAGCATGAGCTAGTACCTGCACAAAGGATATCGCTGTACTGCTTATGAGGTATACTTCTATCATAGATCATGTTATATACAGGATTGGCATCTTGAAGTGTTTTTCTTTTGTAAGTATCAAAAATTGACTTTATGCATTTTCTGGACAGGTTTGCTTTCACTTCAGTACATCATCCTCATGTGATCTACTTTGCTGCCATGTCAACTGGTATGGCTGCGAGGCGTTCAGGGTGCTACGATCACGTCCCCGTGAAAGGCCATCATTATCGTGCTGATACTCATTTCCTGGGGCTTCTTTTGTGTTCTTAGTTTCTCCTTGTTGATCATCCTCTGCTGATCAGCTGGTGCTACGGTTTTATCCCTGCTTAATACATGAAAGCACCAGCATTTGCTCGGTTGTAAATACGTTTTAAGGAATTCATTTTGTTTTGGGGCTTCATTTGTGGTGCCACAAGGCCAACATGTTATGCTTCAGACCGTGCTTGGTTATTCATACAGTTTTGCTCCAGACCTGTAGAGGATCTAAATTTTGTTAAATCGACGTGATTCTGAATTAGTTGGTCGCTCCTTTGTGCCTTTTTACAGGCTGAAGGCGACTGCCTCTCCAAAGTTCCACCTTTCGGTTTCAGTTCGGCTTCCATTTTTTGCTTTAAGGCATACACAATATTCAGTTTCTTTATTCAGCAGAGTAATATCTCGGGTTATTACGTCTCCACTCTTTTGTTTGTATTGTTACTTGGCCTTTCCATAAAGTCAAATCTTATATGTTTTGACTGCAAAGAAACCTGGAAGATGCATCATTATCGCTGCTGCACGATGAAGCTACACATACTGATTTCGCCAAAAAAAAAAGGTACACATACTTAACACTATTAGATTCTTCTACCGTATCAGGCTTCATGCTCAGGCCTTTACCTTGGCTGCCTTGGGTTGTTCTGCACTGGTGGAGCACTATGATCACCAATTCACCAGTCAGGTCTGATAGTTGATAAGATTCCCAAAAAGGAGTAGGATACACTGTGTAGAAGAGCTGTAATTATAGGCTTCCATCAGCTGATATGGAATTTGTTGGTGTTATTTTCTGAGCAAACAATCTGGCATGTGATGTGCTGTTATCGAAGTTCTGCAGGCTCTCTGTTTTCTGTATATGCTACTGAACCAGCATTTAGATGCAGCTGAGTTAGTGCGCATGAAATGTTTCCTATTACTACTGAAGAAGTAAATTACCAAGAAAGTTTTATACTCCCTCTTATCTATATTAATTGTCCCTGATTTAGTACCGACTTTGTATGCTCAAACCAAATAGCCAATAACATATGCCCTTCTAGACAGAAAAAAAACCTTATGGAGTGTTTATTTCTAAAACGCGACAACAAACATGTTGGCTTTCTTCTCTACTAGATGAACTGTCGCGCCAATTGGCGCACAAGACAAACTTGAACCAAGAACTAAAAGAGATCTCTTTGCCTTTTTTTAGCATACGGTTTTGATGTATACTTGTTTATCAATTTCTATGAATCAATATAGAAATATTTTGGATTGTTTGTTGTGTAGGAAAGGCGAAAGCCCACTATGAACTGAAAGCAATTATTTTGATAAACTTAGGAGTGCACGTGGGTTTTTATCATATAATGGC